TTTTTTACCTGCTTTCGAACTGCTCGGTTGGCAGAAGCTGGGACAAGGAACGGGAGCTCACTCCGTTATGCGGCGCTAGGGATTTGAGCCACCGACCTTTCGGATCGACAAGCTCCGCATCTTAGCCCCTGAGCTACTGCGTCACTTTTTTCCCCCCTTACAGATTTTGTTTTTATGATATGTTGGTCACAAGAAGATAAGTCCAGTTGTCATGGCTCCACTTCCTGACAACTTTACCTGGATGGGTGAAAATCTTCACCAACATACTTTGTAGGATACAGGCAGGCCTCGACTTACAACAGCTCGTTTAGTGACCAATGTTACATCATCACTGAAATAAGCGACTTATGACCGTTTTTCACACTTTATGACCGTTGCAGCATTCCCCCGCTGGCCCTGTGATCAAAATTCAGACATTTGGCAACTGACTCACATTGATGACGGTTGCAGTGCCCTGGGGTCACGTGATCCTCTTTTGCGACCTTCTGACAAGCTAAGTCAATGAGGGAAGCCAGATTCACTTAACGACTGTGTCACTAAATTAAGATGTGCACCGTTTCACTTAGCAACTGTGGCAGGGAAGGTCGTAAAATGGGGCAAAATTCACTCCACAAATGTCGCACTTAGCACCGTACATTTTGGCCCCAATTGTGGTCATATGTCGAGGACTACTCATATTTGTTTAGGGGGGTGTATAAAATTTGATCCATGTTTTTTGTAAGGCAGATTTTCACAATTGTCTTTTGAAGATGAATGAGAAGTGAATCTATTTTCACAAAATGACCGAAACTCAAATGATAAAATCGCTTTTAATTGCTCCTAAATCAGGAGTCTCCTAACCCCAGACTGTGGCCCCTTCAGAACCGAGCTGTTCAAGTAGGAGGTGAGCGCATGTAGCTCCCTTTGAGTGAGTGGCGGGCACGCGTGCGCGCAAAGCTTCATTTGTGCGAGCAGCGGGCTTCATGTGCTTTACAGCCCTTAACAGTTGCTAAACCTCTGACCTTTGATCGTGGAGATGCTGCCACGGTTGTTAAGTGTGAAAAAGGGCCACATCCCTTTTTTCAGTGCCTTTGTAACTCAGCCGTCACTAAAGAGCCAAGGTGGCGCGATGGTTAAATGCAGCACTGCAGGCTACTTCAGCTGACTGCAGTTCTGCAGTTCGGCTGTTCAAATCTCACCGGCTCA